TGTCCACGGATGGTGTAGTGGACAGGTACCCCAATGTGTGGGACACTCTTCGATTCCATAGGTTTGAGAAGTTTACCAGGCCCTGTGGCCCCTATATTCCTACATGGGTTCGGGTGTTTTACACGGCGTATGGTGAACTGGTACCTAAGGGAAAGAAGAAGGCCAGTGCCTTCAAACCAGTAAAGTCCGGTAGTATTACTCTTATCCTTGTTGATTTTTGATTGGTAGCCTTTTTTAGGAAAAGTGATTGTGTGTCATTCTTCTTTTATTGTTTGAGGAGCTGAGGGCGATGGCAGTGGGGTTTGTTCATGAGAACTAAAATTGCATTGAAGACTTAAGTGACCAATTCTACCGCTTGATTGATAGATTTGACTGACTTATTAGTACCAAATTTATTGTGAGTGGTAATTGATTTGGATGGAGGATTTGAGGGGTTTTGTTAGTGATACTTCGACACATAGCCTGGCGTAGCGTCCTCTGGTTGTTATACATGTGTAAACATCAGTTTTGAGAAGTTTCCCTATGACATTGCCCATTTTCTTAAATATAACTCCATCATAAAATTCGGTTGGGAAATGTGGGAGACGAATCCAGATAGCGGTATTTGTAATTGTTTCTTTGTTAGCTATGAAGTTTGGAACCCACTTTTGAACATAGAGGAAATGACTATTGACGAAGCAAGGTCTTCTTTCCAGCACATGGTTTAGTTGGTCTTTAGTTGGGAGTTTGGCAATATAGAAGTCATAGCCTAAGTCAATTAGAAGGAAGTCTGATGTTGTTTTCCATAGTGATTTAAGTCTTGATTTTAGTAGTTGATGCTGCATTTTCTTACCGATAAGTTTCATTATAACAGAGAATTGCCAGGAAGAGTACATATGAATTTTGTCTTCCGTAGTAAGATGGATTTGATCAAGTTGGTATGAGATTTGTAAGGTGCCAGTCTTAGATTCATATGACACCTCCTTTGAATTCATTTCGAAGTCCACCGGCTCATTGATAATGGTTTCATTTACCATTAGGGAGTCTTGCAAGTTATGGATGAGGTTAGAAGTTTGGTGGGGAATATATCTGGAGGTTCTGGGGGGATTTCATGCATTGGAGATGAGATTTGGATGTTGTTGCTCATAGTCGCTAGAGAGAAAATTGATTAAGTATAATTAATGTGTTTTAATTTATACCTAATTTTATTGCTCAAATTATTCTTACTAAAAAATATTGGTCCGATCTTTGCTTGCCTAGTTATAAGTTGCTCGAATTTCTTCCTAAACTAGAAAATTAGGTCACGTTTTTTGCCGTCATAAAAAAATAAGTATTTTTTTTATCCAGCCCATTAATAAATTGACGATATAATACCATTCAACTTAATTATTTCTTATATTTTCAACTTATTAAATAGATCGGGTTTATGATGATTGAGTCATATGTAGTTTGAATATTGGTTTTAATTTTAAACAGTATTTTTCAAAAAATTTACAATTTGAACGCCATTAAATAGGTGTCAAGATTTTATATATAAATTTTTTTCAGCTAAAATGACCATGAATACTAACTTGACAAAATTGAGTAATAGACAAAACAAAGTTAAGATACTATATTTGATAGTCAATTAACCAAATAGAGTGACCATCCAAACTTTATTGTTTATATTTAACATCGTTCTTAAATTAAGAATTTCAACAAATATGTTCCTTAAGAAGAAGTTATTTGAAAAGAGCAAAGTCATCATGATAATCACGAAAAGAGCAAAAGAGGACATATAAAGGCATTAATATAAAAAATTTATAAACATGAGTTGTGATGCAGTAGTAGGACTGCACCTTTAACTAAAAGTTTCATGTTCGAGCTATACTTATTATCTTTTAAAATGTAATTATAGTTCACCAAAAGAAGAGAAAAAATATAGCCTATCATAGTTTGAACTTCAAATTACTATAAAGATTTTTTTTCTCATGTCAAATTCTCAATATCATAGTTTGAATCACTATAAAGGTTTTGACTCATTTGTTGATCATGAAAATATAATTTAAGTTCTAGAAACTTCTTGATTATATGTTCTTCTTAGTTTGAATTAAGGTTCTTTCAACTTAATCTAATTCAGAAAGTTTTATAAATATCAATCATGCAAATTGAATATATATAGAGAACTTGGAGAGAAGGACCAACTTACATCATATTATAAAGCCATGTAATTCTATTAGATCTTTATTGAAAAATTATCATATAACAATTGAAATATATCAAGGTTTCATGTGAAATACACATGGGGCACATGAAGGCAAAAAAGATAAATGGACGATTAAATCTTTGTAATTTGAGAGAATTAGGAATATGGAGGTTTTGTACGGGAGAGAGAGAGAGATTAAGAGAGAAAAAAAAGGAAGGGAAAGATTGTATCTTAGACAAGGAAAATATTACTTCAGTAAAAAAATAATAACTTACTATAATGGGTCAATGCTATGTGATGGTGTAACATAGAGCTGTTTAAAATCGAACCGAAATCGATAACCCGAATCGAAAAAAAAGTTATTGATTTATCAGTATTGAGTTATTGGTTAGTGGTTTTGATAACAATTTTGAATTTTTTTTCTTATCGGGTTATCGGTTCTTAACGGGTTAACTGATAACCCGATAGTAAATTAAAAAATTATATTTATACCATTTTGTATATAAAGTCCTTGACTTATAGTTTTGTTTCCTACTTTTATTTTTTGTTGTCTCAAACACTTGGTTCATCTACAATGTAAAAATGTTTGTTTTTGAGTAAGATGTAACTTGTGAACTCATGTGCATGATTCATTTGGTTTATCACCTTGTTTCTAAGTAATTTTCAATGTTATTTTTTTGTGTCAAATCTTAACGGTTAAACCGCTAACCGAACCGATAATGATAAAAAATCGATAAACCAATAACCGATAAGCCAACATCTTAATGGTTCAATAACGGTTTAGCATCTCTACAAATCGATAACCAATAAGCCAAATCGACAAGCTTCAAAATTGAACCGAACCAACCGATACGCAGCCCTAATGTAACAAGACTATACACCGACAATATATAAAACTTAAACTCCTTTATCAAAACTAAGCGGCAGAATAATATTATTAGCTAGTTTTTTTTTTCTCCAAAATTCCCATCAAATCTAACAAATATCTTAAGAGGAAATACTCGATGAGAACTAAAAATATTAACTTTTGACAAACTTATAAAATCAAAATTATTGATTACATAAAGGACTATTTTTAACTTACCCTCGAACATTTGAGACTAAAGTATTATTTTCTCATTATTGTGGCAATTAGAAAAGAAAAGAAAAAAAATGGAGGACTGGAAAAAGTAATTTTCGTTAACGAGGGCAGACTGGAGATGCAGCTACTTATAATAAAACCTGACTTTTCAAAGATATTTTTCGCTCGGCCTCCGCGTCTCCGCTTTGCTGTTGCAGTTAGGGTTTCGGTAAAAACTTTCAATCTTCTTCTTCTGATTCTTTGATTAGATTCACATTTTTCTTCAATTCACTGTTAGAGAAATGAAATCACTATTTTATCGAACGAAAATGTCAATTCATTTCTTAGAACGGTAGAGTTGATTTGTTGCAACATTTATTTTGTGGAGGTAGTGAATATTTTATTTGTTAGTTGCTTGAAACATTATATGTGTAGCTCCTATTCGGTTGTTGAATTGAAGTTTTGGTGCCTAAAATGTAGCTGAGAGTTAGGTCTGCAAGTGGTGTGCATTTTTTAAATCAACTGCTAAATTTAGGTTTTTGTGTAAACAAGTTTTATACTCTTGCTCATTCAAATTGGGTAAGTTTTGAACTCACCTATGTTTGTATTCTTAAAAGAGTTAAGATATCTTGGCTAAACCAAATTAGGGACTCTCGTGCCATCTTCTTAAGAAGGCATACAAGGGTGTGACCTAGTGGTTAATGAAGTTAGAATACAAATAGAAATTCTAGATAGAGGCAGAAAAGTAAGTGATTTCTTGTCATTTGCCTAATTCTTGGTTGTAGAAGTTACATACTTGCACTGGTGGGATAGTGGGAAAATGCAGGTATCCCGTGTAATAGCAAGGTCTGTGCAAGGTGGACCAAATACTACTGTTATTAGAAAATGGAATTAAGAAGAAATTTTAGGATAATTTGTTTGATATTTAAAACTTTTGAGATAGCGAGTTTCAGATCTTTAGGAGAATACTAGGTACCTATTCGCCTTGTTAACGAGTAATAGGTTTTTGACTTGGAATTGATATCATTTTAAGATGACTATAATCTGAGCTAGTAATTTTTGTTGTAAAAAGGGTGTGTGCCTGGTGCCACAGGCAAAGAGTCAAATGATCCTCCCAGGAGATCAGAGTTTGATTCCAATTCGTGAATAATCTAAAGCCACTGATTTTTTAAATTGTTAAAGGATCGATTGTATAACAGTTTATGTACAAACTGATTTAGGTTTAGCTAACGTGATCTAACTGATAATTTAATGAATGGAGCACATCTCCTTTCAAAAGGATGCTAAGTTGCTTGAACTCTCCAAAAATGTTGCTGCACCCGTGTCGGATCCACCAAAAATCACTACTTTTGAAGGATCTGTCACGCACCTGGCAGCATTTTCGAGGAGTCACATGAAGGATGCATGTTCACTTTAGGATTGTCCGAAAGGAAGGGTGTAAGCTAACTCTGAACACAATCCATGGACAACTGTTAAATGCTCAACTGCTCTACCGCAATAAATCACGTTAGTTAGATGAAACTGCTCTTTTCATATTATCTGTAGCCATACACATCTACTTGTCTCCTTTCAGGTTTAGCAGTCCCTGACATCTTCCGTTCAGGAAGGATGAGGCCAATTTTCTGTGGAAACTTTGAGTTTGAAACCAGACAGCCTGAGCTGGAAAGGCTTTTCAAAAGATACGGGAAGGTTGATAGGGTGGATATGAAATCTGGTAAGATTTTAACACATGTCAATTTTCTTTCAGTGCCACTTGTCTTATTTCTAACCGTTAATTTTCCTTTTTTGAATATGATGGACCCTGTTGGCGAGTTTAAGTTGTGGCGATAACTTGTTACGGACACTAACCCCTGGATTCATGGTGTACCATACTTGATATAAAATTATATGTACTTGATTAATTGGGTGTCTTGTTAGGTGTTAACTACTTGTATGTGAGGCCTCCCCAATGAGGTCTTGTTATTTTCTTTTGTGTATCTTAGAAGTTGGAAATGTAATTCTTATTTCTTAGTACATGCACATCTTATTGCCAGTGAGTTTCTTCCTGCAGTAGGTACCTGGGTGTGATTTCATCTAATAGGGTAGTTGTTTACATAACCGGATTCTTTCTTCTGTATAATCTTTATTCCTTATGTCTTGTTAACTATGGGCAATAAGCACTATGGCATCAAATGGTCTGGCCAAGTGTTATTTTGCCAATTGTTCATCAATTATATACATACTGCTAAACAACGTTCTCTGCAATCCGAGTAAGACAGAGCCCACCACTATTGACTACCAGTAAAACTGGGCCAGATTATGTGAAGTCTGTGTCTTGCTAAAGTTCAGCATAGCAAGCAACAATAAAGCTGATGGTTGCAAAGCGATTGAGTGATGAAATATGAACAAGGTTATTGTATCCCTTGGCCCGTTCTGTGTTTTCAGTGCTCAAATGACCGCAAAGTGGTTTGATGTGGATGCTGCATTCCCATCTTTACATTGTGGCTTTGTTGGATGAGAGATCCAGTCAAGCTTATTTGGCTCAACAGCAGAAGTCTTGTTGAGTTTTGGTGGGGTATTAGGGTATGTTTACCGAAAAAGTGTATTTTTTTAAGCGTAGACCCCCATACTCAACTGATTCTTTGGCGCAGGATAACATTGCAATGTCCATACCCATTGCTGATGGACGGTGTCTATTTCGTGTCCTGACCGTGACAAGTTTCTCTTCTTGTTTCAACAAGAGCTCTCTGATACATCATGGCATCACAATCACATATTATTCTCAGACACTATTGCCCTTCATTCCTCGTGAATTTTGCCCCGCCTTCATTTTCAGACTTGTCACAGTGCCGACCTCGAAGCTGAGGCAGCAGTTTAAAATGGAGAAGGCACTCTTTTACATTATCCCATCATGTGACATCCACCTTTCCCTGGCATCTTTAGTCCACCACTGAAGGTCTGTTGCTGATTTTAATGGTGTCAAAGTTTCTAGCTTTGACAGAGTGATTGTAATGCAATGAAATGCTAGCTAGATGGTTTGCACATTTACTGGATAAAGTTATCTTTCCTTTTTTTTGTAGAGTATTTATGATTAGCGGAATCCTTCTTTGGGGGGTTCTTGTTGTCACCAACTGAGTGTTTGTTTAATCTTCAGTTTATTTCTTGCATCAAACTTCAGGTTTTGCTTTTGTTTATATGGATGATGAAAGAGATGCAGAGGATGCTATTCAGGGGCTTGACCGAATAGAATTTGGCAGAAAGGGACGGAGGCTTCGTGTTGAGTGGTCTAAGGTAATCCATTTTTGTGCCTGCTCCCCTTCCTTCATATGTGTGTTTATGCTGTGTTTTGGTCGCTGTGCTGCAGGAAGAACGGAGCAGGAAGCCTGAGGGTTCTAAAAAATCTTCATCAAGCTTCAGAGTTTCCAAGACCTTGTTTGTCATAAATTTTGATCCATATAATACTAGGACAAGAGATCTGGAAAGGCACTTTGATCCATATGGAAAAATACTCAATATAAGGATCCGAAGGAATTTTGGATTTATTCAATTTGAAGCACAGGAGGATGCCACTAGAGCCCTGGATGCTACAAATATGAGGTATATGCCTTTGTCAATTTTCGTTGTAATTGGGCATGTAGTTTCCAAATTTGCACATTAGTTTGACCAGAGCCTTCGCTTGACTGCTTATGACTTGGTTAAATGCAGTAAGCTGATGGACCGAGTTATCACAGTGGAGTATGCAATCAAAGATGATGATGATAGGAAAAATGGATATGGTCCTGGTAAAACCTATAATCAATCACCCAGGAGAGGTTATGACCGAGGCCGATCTCGTAGTCCACGTGGAAGAGATAGGCTGAGTCCAGACTATGGTCGTGGCCGAGATCGGCCAAGTCCAGACTATGGTCGTGGTCGAGATCGGCCAAGTCCGGACTCTGGTCGTGGTCGAGATCGGCCAAGTCCTGACTATGGTCGTGGTCGAGATAGGCCTATTCCTGACTTTGGTCGTGGTAGAGATCGGCCAAGTGCTGACTTTGGTCGTGGTAGAGATCGGCTAAGTCCTGATTATGGTCGTGGCCCTAGTCGAAGTCCTAAGCACAGGGAAAGGAATTCTGAGTATGGCCGTGGCCATAGTCCAGCTGTAGGAAAGGAGAGAAATCTTGGTCATGGGAATGTTCGCAGCCCTAGCCCTCGTAGGGAAAGAACAGGTCCAGGAAATGGCCTTATGAGCAGTCAGCTGAAAAACAGAAGTCCTGGTTATGGTGATAGACCCAGTCCTAGTCCTCAAAGGGAGAGGAGAGATAAATATAGCCTGGATGGTTATAATCGTGGCAGCAGCCCAGGTCCTAAACTTGAACCAGTAGGAAATCCTGTACGTGATGGGAGGGGAAGTTCAGAGCGATGCAGGAGGTTTGCACCTCACTAGTTTACTTTCCCTCTGTTGTCTGTTGTCATTTTTGACGTCATCCTAGACGTGTTATACTTTAATCATTTTGTTGGTGATGCAGTCGTTCACCTCCAGCTCGGGAAAGATCGCGCTCCTGATTTGCTTGAAGCTGTTTTGATAACTTGGAGTAATATCTGTAGAATGGTTATGTTGAAAGTGGTGCTTGTAGAATTACACCTTGAAGTTGCTGGAACATCAAAGTAACATGTGGGTTTTAGAACCAATGTAATATACCTTGGGAGATGGTTTTTGCCGTCGGAAGTGATTTAGAACTGCTACCGTGTATCTGCCTTGTTTACTGGATACTCTCTTTTCCATTTGATACTGATCTGGTAAGACTTGGGCCATATCATTCTTAGCTTGGCTTTACCAACAAATTTTGTTTATCCCCGCAGCCTCAGTGTGATGATTAATTAGTAACTTGTCTTGCAAACCAAATCATTAGTTTGCACCCAAGGATGTGGCCTAGTGATCAATGAAGTGGTTGAGAACCCTGAGGTTTCATGTTCAAAACTCAGACAAAAATACTAGGTGATTCTTTCCATTTGTCCTAGCATTAGCATTGGTGGTCAGAGGGGGAGGTGTCCAAGTATCCGGTGGAATTAGTAAAGTCGTTAAAAAAACAAATCCTTAGTATTAATTAAGTATGAGTTGTATTGTTTTGTATGTAGATATTATAACTCGTTATAGTGGTTGTCAGTTACATGTAGAGGAGCCTAGTTTGTTTATGATAGAGCCAACTAATGATTCTATGAATCTGTCTTAGATATATCAGTATTAGGTGCCAAAGTAACTTAATTCAGACAAGAAGGAAAAAAACAGTACAGTTGTAGGTCTGGGAGCAATATGACGGAAATGCTAAATATTGGTGAACATGGTGGGTATCAGATGGTGTTTGTATTTTTGACATAATTGCATGAAAATTGCTAGTCTTACTTGTTGGATGTTTTCATAAATGGACACCAACAAATGTGGTCCCAAAATATTCTGCGTACGAACAGTCTTTGGCGTTATATTTGTGATTTAAATTACCCTACCTTTAGGCTAGTGGGAGAATAAGGAGCGTGGTTTGTTGGAATGTATGAAGCAAGGTTTGACAATAACTCCATTAGTAAGCAACCATAGAAAACTTAGATTTTAAAGAGTGATACGATAAGAATGGCCCCCATCCTCAAGTAATTTTCATTTATGGTACTACTACTTTTGTTTTTTTTCTTCTTTTCGACTAGGACAGGAACCCTGTACTTTGCTTGATATTAGCCATCACCATCCCTTTTGCTGTAATGCTTTAAGCACAACAACTAACTACATATACAAAATGCAAGTCTTAAATATTGAATTGTGAGAAAAAGGCTTGTCTTTGCTAAACGTTTATGAATCGCACCTAATGAGTTGGCCTATTATATATTAGTACTCAAATTTGGGGATATGCACATAGTAAATCTTGTTCCTATTACTCCGCTCCGCTCCGTCCCATTCATCTTGCTAAAAACAATTGTCTCATATTAATTGTCCACCACACTAAATCAAGAAAGCATTAATGAATAAAATTATTTCTTCTTATTTATGATTTCCGTAAAAAAGAAAATTGATAGTACTAGTGTTGAGATCTAGACTTAATGGTCAAATTGATTGAGAGGATTAGAAGCAACTGACCACTCATGTATTTTGATAGGAGATGCAAAAATGAATTCTCAAGTCCCACTTGAATGGATGCAGTTTGACATTTGGACATATCAGAAGGTGACAATTAAAGTGTAGTCAGATGTAGCTTAGCGAGTGAGTGAGTGAGTGTATGTATATAATAAACATACATATATATTTAGCAAGGCTAACTGTTCTTGTCCATTGGAGATCCGGAAAAACTATCCAGTTCTAGAATACATACATACGTATTTAGCAAGAATATTAATCTATTTCATCTTTATAATTCACATGCCCTTAAACTTCAATAACAAACTCAATTGTTACATCACTAATTCACCACTAAAATAATTAAACTTAGTTGGCATATTTAACATTACCATCTTCAATTAGCTAGATTAACGTATGTTTAAAGCTATCCTATTTAAAAAATCCAGATTAAGTCTCCAAATAATTAATTCATGTCTTTAGAAGTAAATCTCAAGTCGTTCTACTACTCAACTAAACTTATACGCTTGACATAATTTCATTTTTTTATATGATTGATTTCCCTAAAATAGAAGAAAGAAAATACACATATATAGTACTCCTACTTGATAAAATAAAATAACAACTGTTTCCAGGCTTTATGTATATTAGAAAAAAAAAATCCAGCTGCAAACTTGATTTTTTAACACAAATAATTATGCCAAAGTATTTTCCAAGTCTACCAATCAACCGATGGATGCGGCTAACAAAATTAAAACATTCTCAAAAGAGACAAAATTATGCATGCACATACTTTTGACTAATAATAATTTATATATTTAACAGCTCAGTCTTTGGTTTCTGACCCAAATATTTGTTTTATTCTATGCATATTACAAAAAAGGATTGGCTCTATCTGCGGAAACGACAGTTCAAAAGATTTTTTCATAATCTAAATTGGTGTCTATACATGTTAAACAACAGGAGAAAGTCAAAAATAAATTCTTAGTCGATTTTGGGAGTGTTTCCTAAGTTTGTTGTGTGTATATATATATATTTATATATGTTAACAAGATAAGATAAGCACTTATAAATTTAATTACGACTTTCTTCGTTCGTCTCAATTTATAACACAATTTATTAAGAAAGAAATAATTTTTTTAGGGCCGTTCTAATTATGGTCTTAAGTACATGTTGTGTAAGAGATGCATGAGTACTAGTATGAAATTTTTGAATTTTGTGCTTTTAAACATTGCATGACGTTTGTGTATCTATATTAGGGTAAAGTCAGACGTTCGAATCAAATTATTCCTAAACTTGTATTATGCTTATTTTAAAACAAATTAACAAAGTAAATTACATGTTTGCTAAATTAAAACAGACCAAAAAGAATAGTAATATATACATATATATCAAACTTAGCGCCAAAGAGAATTTATAATTAATCGAGTATCCTTAAATCCGTTGGCCTATGTTTTGATGAGATAAACTGTGGATTATATTTTAGTAGCACAGTCATTGTTCGATTATATCTTTGAATTCAACAAGAATAGACATTGTTATAATTAACTCCACAACTTAGTCCTTTCCACAAGGAATATGAATACTTATAATATTGTTTTCTTCGTTTCAAATTAAGAGAAATTAAAGTGTGGTACTGTATTACAATACCAAAATTTGATATGCGTGTTTTCTTGCACGTGATATTCATTTCTACTAAATTTGCGCGCACAATGCGTGTTTAAATTACGTGTTGATTCTGTTAACGCTTTACTTCTTAATGGGTATCATAGTTTTGTTATTAGCGTTGTTTTCAGTATACGGATTCAAAATTTAAAGTTTATGAATTTTCAACTATTTCAAATTTTAAGAAAAAAATGTATTATAAACATAATACATAAATATGTCCTTTAACTTGAACTCAACTAATTATATTATACCCTCTAACTTTAGGCATGCATAAGTAAGTATTTAAACTTGTATAAATTAAAGTTGAACAAGTAGACACATACATTTTATGTGACATAATACATGTAGGACGCAAATTGCCATATAGGACACCAAGTAGGACGTGTGTGCATACTTGATTAACTCTATGCAAGTTTAAGTGTCACCAATAATTGAAAGATATATATGCCAAATGAGACCAAATTGAAAAGTATGTTCATGTATTATACCTTTATTATATGTGCCCGCGAGGAATCAAAATCTTATCAAAGAGGCACAATGTTAAGCAAGTTTTACTTCTCTACTGCCAGATCAAGAGACTACTTTGTTTACTAGATTCCCAACAATTATATATATATTTGATAAAAAATTTAACTGTTCATTTAGCGACGAGATAAGGTTAGAACTTAGAAACAAAAAACTGAGAGATTCTTTCTTTCACAGCTTTCATTTGTCTTTTTGATGTGGCAATGTTATCACTTTGAGTTGGAGATAACCTTTATCTTTAAAAAAAAAGAATCTAAAGTATAATAAATCACTTCTTTTTTATCAAAAAAAATATTCACTTGTCTTTGAGCAAGAGAATTCATAAATGACCTAAGTTAGCAATTTTATTTTTATCGGAATATTAAGTTGAAGACCATAGTCGATGAGCTAACAAGAATTTTACACCTAAGTCAAGATAATTTGGATTCACCTTTTCTTTAAAGTCCAAAACAATGCATGCTTACTAGTTAGTGGGGGCGGTTGTATTAGCATGTATGATAATTTTGAAATATAATTATAAATATACTCTTTATTATTTGACTTAGATCATCGAATTTTGTTGAATTATCATGCCCAGTATAATTAATTAATTAGGTCAGTTATGAACATATATTGCAAGTCTTCATTTTCTAGAATTTGGTAGGGCTTTTAATGGATTCCGTTTTTCCTTTTTCTCTTTCTCCATCATTAGTATTACTTCTTTTGTTTCACTCAAGTCAATGTGTCATGTTTTTCTTTTTAATTTATTTTAAAAAGGAAAATATTATACTCCTTAATCAATTTAACTTGATGAAAAAAATCATATATATATAACATATATTTTATACATCTGTAAAAAAAATTAATTAAAATTTTATTGGCAATTAGATATTATTTCGTTTTATTTATATTAGGTGTTTTTTTTGTTGTTGCTTGAACATGGAGTATCTTTTAAGAAATCTTCTCATCTCTAAAAAGGTAACTATTCCTCCGATTTCAATTTATCGACGAAGAGAATAGTATTTTTATTAATTTATTCTTAATTAATATAATTTTTTTATTTACTCACCAAAATAGGGATAAGAAAAATAAAAAAATAAAAAATATCTTTTCAATTAGGTAAAACATCATTTATTTTAAATCAAAATATAAAAATAAATATTGCTAAATCAAAAAAAAGTACGACACATATATTGAACCAGCAATATCTAAAAACTTTGACCGAGGGTAAGGAAATAAATTGCGGCGACTTGCAAATGAATTGGCCAGTTGAGTTTTTTGTTTTTACCTCATCTCTCTTTTTTATATGAATATGAATATTTCTAAATCCATCCCCTTTTTTCCATTGCAATACACTATTAAAAATAATAATTTAACGACAGATAAATTTTATAACTAAATAGTATAATTTGTTGATAATCTTAGTTAATGATGAATAAGTGACAAAATTCTATTAGCTACAAAACAAAATATAATGAATTAGCGATGAAATTCATAGTTGATATTAATTTTTTTTTAGTAAGGATAAAATCATCATCAACATTTTTATGTTTTGGTGAATATTATATAGTACAAAATGTGGGAAAACGTGGAGTAATAATATTTTAAACGTTCAAGTTTCTGTGTACGAAATTTGAACACAACTTTATGACATCATAAAAAATGTGTCATGCCCTATCAAAAGCATGTCGACTAAAACTTATGAAATGCAAAATTCTTTGTTTTTATTTCAATGTGAACTCATAATAGTTTTATGAACAAGCGTCTAAATGATATACTTATATAAAAGTAACCCCACTTTCATTGTTAATATATGAGAAAATTCCACACGTTTTGATTTTGATTTTTTTTATTTTAATTTTCTGTGTGTACCCCACTAATTTTTCTACTGGTTTTTATTTTGCCGTGTGACCAGGGCACTGATACTTGAATTGGTCACAAACTCCTTTAATAGTGACCACTGAATATGCAAAACTGAATTAGTATATGTAAATTAATTTTATATTATTTTAATGGAAAGAAGAGTTAGTTTCAGTGTACCAGAAAACAGTTGTTTGAAAAATAAATTAAAAAATTGTATCGAATACATGTATAAAAGTTAATGGAAAGAAGAGTTAGTTTCAGTGTACCAGAAAACAGTTGTTTGAAAAATAAATTAAAAAATTGTATCGAATACATATATAAAAGTAAAAAAAACGGCAAGAATTAATAATAAGTAGAAGTGATCAATCGACATTTGTTGTGTTAAATAGGATGACGGCTGGCGTACAGTGTGGAAGGAGGACTGCTAATACAAATTCTCTTTCTAGATTCTGAGTGCTGACTTTCTATGTTTTCTTATTTAGACTTTCATTCCATTCCATACGACCAACGGCGCCATCATTTGGACCATGCATAAAACATAAGTCGATGACAGTAGCGGATTCATGATTTTCATTTTGAAAGTGTGAAAAATAATAAAAGATAGTGTTTACAATTTGAATTTTAAATTTCAAGGCGAATTTGATTTCCTAAATTTAGGAGTCAATTGATAATCTAGTGTTTAGAGGATTCAAAATATATGCATGTACATTAAAAAAAGATCTTATATATACATTATGCAATGTATTTATTGAGAGGATTTAGGTAAAAACTATCTCGACCCTCTAGATCCGTCTCTATTGTTGTAGCGGTGGGAAGTCATGCAATTTTTTGCTGAAAAGGTCTATTCAAACCTCCTTGACTCTCTTCGTTTCCGTTCCCAGCAACCAAGTTGGAATTTTACGTACTAAGAGAGTCTAAATATAAAAAAGGTAAACACTCAATAAGCTAATAAGTAAGAGGAATTCAATGTACATTCATAATCATTTGACCAACTTACATTAATGTAATTTTCTAGCAAATGAGTGTCAATTAACATTTTTCGAACAAAGATAGACTCTACCATTGATGGGCTGTGAATGTTGAAAGAGGGGAAGCTAAAAGCTAAAAGACCTTTGGTGGGAGTTAAACCGATGGTAAAACGTGTAAAAGTGAAATTGTAACTTTTTTTAAAGAGAGACCAATGATTGATTTTCCTTATCATAGTCTTTTCAGTCAAATTTATTGCATTGAACTTGTCTAGTGTAATATGATTTGTAAGTTATCATACACAAACTGATTTACTCTGTGCACATTCAAAAAATGGCGACTATAAATTTCCCGGGGTTCCAAACAAAATATAGTAACACACAAAATTATGACATAGTGTCTTTTTCTTTTAGTTTGTACAAATGAAATTTAAAAAGCTTGGTATCCCTTTCATTCTGTTTTTCCATTTCTAATCAAGTTTCTAAGTAAAGTTATATGCCAAAAATCACAAGTTAGAAGTCTTAATTTATAACTTTTGACTTATTTTTATTATTTTTGCTTATAACCAAGTACTTAACAATACTTTTTTCTTTTATTCAAACACCGTAAAAGTACTTAATAATTATTTTAACTTAAAAACACTTAAAATAAAATCAATCTAAACAGACTCTTGGTATGTTCCATTTGGTTAAGTTGTTAAAAGAGTGTGGAACGATGAAGTAACATCACAAAAATGCTGATCAATTAGCTGACAGAAAATGAAAACAAGTAATTAAACTGATGATTAAGAGTGTTGGACAAAAATTGAAAGAGAAAAAAGAACAAGTGATAAACAGATGAGTGGAGATCAGTAGTCTTGGACTTTCGGCTAGCCGTGCCGCACCAAAAAATATTATTATGGCTGGCAAAAACTTGATTCGCTTACCAATTGCTCCTTTGTCCTACTCACACGATCGGATTTAGAATTTCTAGAATATAAATGACAAATATGTATATAAAATATCTAGTCATTGATTTACGTATACCATAATTTACCCTATAAATCCGCCTCTACATACAATACATTTCTTTGGGCCCTTTAACGGGCCTTTTTATAAATGGCCGGTTTTGGGTCCTTATCTATCTGTCCAAAAAGTTGTTTCATCAATTGTCTCTGCTTATGACTTGTCCATCATCTCTTTGCAGTTTTTGGCTCCCTTGTTAGTTAATTCTACAACACACTCGTGTGTTACTATACTACTCTAACTGAACTAGTCGTCATAAAATAAGTTATAATTTTTTATGTATATATATAGACAGTTGAACATTTGTCTTAAAAAGGGAAAAAATATGCTAAACCACCTAAATAAAAAAAAGAAATTAAAATGTTCCGCCCCTAAAATCTTAGTTGAAACAAAATTGGAATTCCACTGTATATAATGTTGTAGGCCGGTAAAAGTATAGAAAATAACAAAGTATGTTGAGACAAAAATCAGCCCCGATAAGTCCTTATATAAACCCCCCATCACTTGTTGGCCTTTAAATGTGCACAAAAACTTCTTCGTCGTTCGTTCCCTCATTATAAACTCTATTATCTCTTTGTTTCTTTTTCTCTCCTGAGAGAAAAATGTGTAAGCCGACAACTCCACCATTCACCTGCAAATGCGATGCATATGCAGAAAATAATTTCGTCTCCATTAAAGTTGCTGAAGAATCCGACATGTCTACCCCTTTGATACCTAAAAGCCCAACAAACGACACTTACCCCCACATAACCAACAAGAAAATAACTTCTCTTGTCTTCAATGAAGCTAAATCCATTGCTAATATCGCTTTTCCTATGATTCTTACAGGCCTTTTGCTTTACTCTCGCTCTATGATCTCTATGCTTTTTCTTGGCCGTCTCGGCGGTTTGGCTCTTGCTGGCGGATCTCTTGCAATTGGGTTTGCTAACATTACTGGATATTCAATTCTATCTGGTTTAGCTATGGGGATGGAACCCATTTGTGGACAAGCTTTTGGAGCCCAGAAGTATAATCTTCTTGGGCTTACTTTACAGAGAACTGTTCTTTTGCTTTTATTAATTTCATTCCCAATTGCTCTGTTTTGGGTTAATATGAAGACTATTCTGCTTTATTGTGGCCAAGATGAAGATATTGCTACAGAAGCACAATCTTATTTGTTCTATTCACTTCCAGATTTATTCGCGCAATCTTTACTTCATCCGTTGCGTATTTACCTTAGAACTCAATCAATTACTCTGCCTCTGACTTGTTGTGCGATTTTCGCGATTCTTCTGCATATACCCATAAATTTTCTTCTTGTTATTAAGCTTAATTTGGGGGTTAGAGGAGTTGCTATGAGTGGGGTTTGGACAAATTTTAATCTAGTAGGTTCGTTAATTGTATATATTGTTGTTTCTGGTGTTTACAAAAAGACATGGGAGAGATTGTCAATGGAGTGTCTCAAAGGATGGAAATCGCTTTTGAATTTAGCGATCCCAAGTTGCATTTCAGTGTGTTTGGAATGGTGGTGGTATGAGATCATGATTTTGCTATGTGGGTTGTTGATTAACCCGAAAGCAACGGTTGCTTCGATGGGCATTTTGATTCAGACGACTTCATTAATTTACATTTTCCCATCATCTCTTAGTTTCAGTGTATCAACTAGAGTTGGGAATGAGCTTGGAGCAAGGAGACCAGGTAAAGCGAAGGTAGCTGCCATTGTAGGCCTTGCTGGAAGCTTCATTTTGGGTTTTACAGCTCTATTTTTTGCGGTGACGGTGAGGAACGTTTGGGCCAAGATGTTTACTAATGACAAAGAGATATTGGCGTTAACATCAGTTGTTTTACCAATAATTGGGCTTTGTGAATTGGGAAACTGCCCACAAACAACTGGCTGTGGGGTTTTGAGAGGAACAGCCAGGCCTAAAGTTGGGGCAAATATAAATTTAGGATGCTTTTATATCGTTGGTATGCCAGTAGCAGTGGGGCTAAGTTTTTATATGGGTTTTGATTTTCAAGGATTATGGATCGGACTATTGGCCGCACAAGCCTCTTGTATGCTCACTATGTTGCTTGTTCTGCTTCATACAGATTGGGAATTCGAAGCAGTCAGAGCCAAACAACTAACAGGAACAACCATTCTCGATGAAACGAAAGAACAAATTCAAGAAAATACTAGTAGTAATAAGCAACTCAATGAAAATTTTTTATGTTAACAATTTTAATCTTTAATTTTTCTGTATAGAGGGGAGGGGGTAGGGGTGCATTCATAGGCTGAAAATGAAGCAAGGTAATTCTGGTGAGGTTCAAAATGGGAATATCACAGGATATGACAAGAGATTGTAGCTGGAAAAATCAGCAAGAAGAAAAGGTGCAGTTTGTACTCTAGCTAAGAAAATTACTACTCCATCAAATTTTGTTCATTTGCTGATTACATGTTCCCTCTTTTTAATTATTTGCATAGATAACAAATTAAATAAGGTAAAAACAATTAAGAAGATGCCTCCAAAATTAGTTATGTGTGTTTCATGTTGTCCTGCATGCATGGACTAGCTAGGATAAACTTTATTCAATTATTATTATTTTAAAAAAAAATCCTAGGTGGCCAAACAACTTCATACAAAGAGAACTAAGAGAGTTGTACAAAAATGTTACATTAACTAGTTATATGGTGAAAATTATAATTGTTTAATTTAGACTAATATTAACACCCTTGATGTTGCATCCGTACAGTTGTTTGCAATTATCAGGTGTAGGTAAATAATAATAAGAATAATAATTCTATGATCACTATTTTCAACAAAAATCAGTTGACATTTTAGAATTGAAGAATTCTCAATTTTTAAAATTTGCTTATATTAGATTTGCCAAAACTTGAGTTGGTAGCAATATGAACAATTATTTGCAATGGTATAAAATATGAGTGCTCTATGGATTTCAGAAAAGTAAAGTCCCGCAGCATTTTATCATTGTCGTATTTCATCACGCTTACCGCGTATTACGCTATGCCAAAATAGAAAACTACAAATTAGCATTTGGATTTTGCCGAATCCATTAGCTTTTGCGCACAGTTTATTTGTATTCCAAAATTTATTAAATATTTAATTTAAAACTCGATTTTTAGTATTTGAAACATTATTCTAAATTTCAAAATCATTTATAAAATTGAAATCATAGCTCCGCGTCTAATTTATATAACTTGAAATAGTATGACTCAGATGGATAGACAGACTAGATTGAGGTGCGTAAAACAGAAGCCGCAAATACTGTTAAAAAGGGAATATGATGCTCAAAGCATATAAACTTTGATAAGACTGGATGGATGTGTTTTTTTTTTTTTCAGCACTACTAAAAAAAAACCCTAAAATTAACTACTAGTCCCTGATTCATCACTATTTAATCGAAACTAACGACAATACTTTCGTTGCTAAGTAGAATTTTACCATTTAGTGATAAAATTTATCCTTCGCTAAATCTAGTTATTTTTTATTAGGGCAGGTACATAAAGAGAAGCAGGGGAGCACGGGACACATGGGAGACGCATTATAATTTTAGGCAATGCAAATGCAAATGTTCCTATAATTATGTATGCAAGCTGCAACATCAACTAATAAACTAAGCATATATTATAATTATTATATATATATATATATATATATATATATATATATATATGTGTATATATGTGCCAATATTGCTGCCGCTAGTCAATCTCTTTAAGATCTTCAATATCCTTTTTTTCCCATACTTTGATAAAGATTTATAACTTGTTCATGTCAACTTTTATATTTCTGCTTGGTTGGGGGGGATCTTCCTCAACATGCATAGTTTCTACAGAGCATAAGATTTTGTAACTTAATTATATATATTGATAAAGATTTTTTATTTTTTTTACATTGTTAGATATATTTTATTATATAATAACAGGTAATATATATGTAGCTTCTACAGAATAAATGATTTTTACCCTTTAGTAAAATCCCTATCTAATAATGTGCTTTTTTTGGGTTATTTATTCTGCTTAAACCAACTAAATTGCTTCTTCTTCCCCTTCTTTTTTCTCTAAAGAGAGGCAAAAAGATTCTGAAATAAGGTAATAAATTTAAGGGTATGTAGAAAAATATTTTTTCGATATGATTTTCAAGAAAATAAATTAATTTAACTTATTTTCTTGTATTCGATATTATATTAATAATATATCTAATGTATATAAATAAAAATATTTATTTATAATTTTAACACATGTTATGAAAATATGAGTGTAAGTATAGGAGTGTTATTCATGACTTTATTTATTTTTTTACTTTTCAAAGTTATTTTCCACATTTAAAAAGAAAAATTTATTTTAAATTACTTATCTACGTACATGTACTATCATTTGACCTTCATTTTTCCCCAATATATAATAGATTAAAGACTGACCCCACATAAACTCAGAACACTCTGACATTAGCAAGTGGTTAATAATTAATTAATCAAATTATAAGGTCAGATAGATAGATGAATCATGCAACTTATTCATTTCTTAATTTAATTAACACCTAATTACTTCTTTTTTTCTAAATGATAGTATTAGGGAAAACAAACCTGCAGAACTATGTACTACCTCTAAATTAAAATGGAAAACGTGATGAGTATTTTATCTTTTTTTATCAGAGTATATATTAAACAAATGATTAAACAATAGTGTACGTATCTAAATTTGTTTAATTCCATGCAGGAGAATCACAATCCACCAGATTTAACTTATAAATATAAAATGTTTATGAAAAGATAGTATATAATTTAGCCTTAAGCCTATACCAAAAGGTGAGATCCCTTTAATGTTCCAAAGAATCAAGAAAAAAAAAGATTTATTAATGTAAGTTAATGACATTACATTACACTCTAATCACTTAATTATTGGACTGTAATTTAGGATTAAAATTTTATTTTGATTAAAATAATTATAATTAGCATAAAAAAATAGAGATTATAATTAATACCTGTTACCACATTCATGCATTGTTGAGTTGTCCTATGTATAAATTTACATGCATAAACACGCTTTGTTTGAGTAGACGTAGTTGAAAAATAGACAGTTGGAGTACCTGTACAAAGAAAAAATAATATTAATAATTATAATAGTAGCTTTAATTAATTTGCAACAAATAAATATATTCATAAAATACAACAATTAATAATCATGCTTACTTAAGGGATAACATTAAATAATAATTAAAGGGACCTGAATTGTTTTCTAAGGCAAGGCCTAGCTCTCTCTGGATCATCAATATTAATTCCTCCCTACAAAATATTCAAATGTTTTCTAAATCCTCACAAGTCTCTCTTTCTTTAAGGCAATAAATACTGAGGCAGATTCAAAAAATTTAGTTATGAGTTTTGGATATTAATTTCTGAATAAACTATATATATATTGTGTTTGATAAAAAATTGAGTTTGACCTTATCCAAACAATTATATAATTATGATGCTGGCTCCGTCGCTGAATAGATATATTTGTAACAACTCATGCCCAGTTGTGAAAAAATTAAGTCAACAAAATGTTGAATATTTAATATATGCTAGACTAGAAATACGAAACATAAGATATAGCTAAAAATAGATTCTAAATCAACATTAGGAAATTGCAACTATAAGGAAAATAAAAAAGACGAAATTTTAAATGGATTTGATGATACGTACAGAACCGCCCACAAGTTTTAGCATTTTCAAGTAATTAAATATGAGAATTTAATATTAGTGAAGAGATAAGGAGACAAACTGGCTAGATCAATATATTAGATGCTTAATTTAGAGGGGGGAAATTGTAATTTTTTTTTAATTATTATTATTATCTCAGCAACCTTCAAGAGCAGGACTAAACTATGATCATCCTTATCATAATATATACTACTAATAAATAATAATTATTCTCCTAATCATTTTTATGACCCTTGGCTCTTCAAGGTTTTTGCGACCCTTTGCTAAACAATTACACGTCTCCTAATCATTCTTTGATGAAATACAGGATGAATAAGAAACATAAAAAAAATATACATATCAATATTTCATTATATTATATAGTAAATTGAATTCCAAAATAAAGATAATTAATTAATTGGACAACGCTATAGATTCAACCCCCCCACCCCCCGGCATTAGCTTAAGTTTTTGTTGGGCTGCTTTTGCAAAAGATATGACGTTAATTAAAAGCATTTGCCCCACAAGCACAATTATATATGTATAAAATCTAATCTTGGTAAGCCCCCCTTCTACCAAAAAATGAAAAAAAATTAACCAAAAAACGAAGAAGAAGATAGATGATGTTATAACTGTGGCACGTTGTGTTCAAAATATCAAGATATATATAATATATAAGAACAATAAATACAATGTAATTTTATAAGTAGGACCGAAAAGAGATAGAATAAAAAAGATATGGAGATGTCATAGTTGTGTGACCGAAAAGAGATAGAATAAAAAAGATATGGAGATGTCATAGTTGTGTGGCACCCTTGTGTTCGAAATATCAAGGTATAAAATGATAGCAATATATTTAGTGTAATTTTATAAATATGAACTAAGAAGGATAAATATATTGACAAACCTTTTCCTTGCCTTTATTAGATAGGGAGGTTGTTTTTTATAAACCTTTTGACTAAAGTTCAAAATATCAAGATATAGACAAATACTAGAGATATAGGAAATTCCAATATACAAATATATACAATTAGACATAAGAAATCACAAAGCAAATTTAAGTGACATTTTAGTTAAACTTTTTTAAAAACTCGAATAATTTTTTATTGCAAACTGATCAATTTTTTAAAATTGTCACACCTAAGTACTTAGAAAAGAAAAACATGTAAAAGACTTATCTCGAATTAGCCATACATAAAGATAACTCGATTTCCTTCGATCTTCATGAGTGGTCCTAAAAGGGAATGAATGATAAAAATAGCATATCGTAGCAATGGAAAATTTTGAAATTCCCGATCGATACAAAGTACTCTAGCCGGGATAAAAATGGGTATGTAAAAAAAATACAATAAATTGCTCAAAAACACACTTAGCTTTAATTAAGAGTAGTAGAAGAGTATTTATGTACACACTCTTCATTTGATAGTATTACCATTAATCAACAAGTGTTCAAATTAGTAATGACTTAATCTCCGTATTTGAATAGGAACAATGCAAGTGATTTTAGTTTTTGATATAAGAGAAAGGACACAAATTAAGCAAGTTGTCATATTGCTTCAAATTAAAATACCCCTTTTCACATGAAAATTCAATTTCCAAGTTCATTTTTTTGGTTAATATTTCCTTTTCCTGTTCTTTAGTGAAGAAAAAAGACAATTTGAATATTAAGGAAGCTAGTGGATAATTATTAATTAAAATAAAACTCAGTGCCATAATTGGGCAGACAGCCTTA